GGGTAACTGTAGGCCAGTCACCAGGAGACTGGGAGTTCTAGTCCTGCATTAGACACAAAAGCCAGCTGGGTAACTGTAGGCCAGTCACCAGGAGACTGGGAGTTCTAGTCCTGCGTTAGACATGAAAGCCGCTGGGTAACTGTAGGCCAGTCACCAGGAGACTGGGAGTTCTAGTTCTGCGTTAGACACGAAAGCCAGCTGGGTAACTGTAAGCCAGTCACCAGGAGACTGGGAGTTCTAGTCCTGCGTTAGACATGAAAGCCACTGGGTAACTGTAGGCCAGTCACCAGGAGACTGGGAGTTCTAGTTCCCTTTTTCCCGAAGTGTTTCTGGCTTGCAACAAACCACACAGGAAGTAGGGATTGGTGTGACCACAGAAGCCGCCCCCTTTAACGCCCTCCATCTTCAGTTAACACAAGACCTGCTCCACAGCGAACACTTGGATTTAGGGTACATGGGCCATGTCTCAGAGACCGCGAATTTCTGAGCCCTCCCAGAGCTCAGGCCTACAAGATGGCTCCCCTCAGCGCCACAAACTGGGAAGACTCCCACAGCTGCTCAGCCCTGACCTTTGTTCAGCCGTGATTAATTTGCTTCTCTAAATTGTGAAGTACTAATTTATTAACTTGTTAATCCCATGGCTTTTTTCATTAATGTGCCGTACGTATAGGTGTGGGCGGGCAGGCGCACATAAGTATGCGCTATGCAGAGATGTAGTTGCAGAGATGAAAAGGAAGAAGAAGATGGCACTGGTGATATGATGAGGCAGGAAAGGCAGCTGGGTGACTTTGGGTCAGTCCCTCTCCGTCCAGCCCACCTCACAGGGTTGTTGTTGGGGGAAAGAAGAGGAGGGAGGAGTATTAGATACCTTCGACACCTTGAGTTGTTTATAAAAATAAAGGGAAGGAGGGAGGGAGGGAGGGAGGAAGGAAGGAAGGAGAGAGGGAAGGGGAAGGGGGGAGGTAGAAAGGAGGAAGGAAGGAAAGAAAGAGGGAAGGGGGAAGGAAGGAAAGAGGGAAGGGGAAAGGAAGGAGAGAAAGGGAAGGAAAGAATGGGAAAAGGGGGAAGGAGGGAAGGAAAGAAATAAAGGGGAAGGGGAAAGGGAGGGGGGAATGAAAGAAAGAGAAAGGGGGAAGGAAGGGAGGAAGGGGAGAGGGAAGGGGAAGGGGGGAGGGAGAAAGGAGGAAGGAAGGAAAGAAAGAGGGAAGGGGGAAGGAAGGAAAGAGGGAAGGGGAAAGGAAGGAGAGAAAGGGAAGGAAAGAATGGGAAAAGGGGGAAGGAGGGAAGGAAGGAAATAAAGGGGAAGGGGAAAGGGAGGGGGGAATGAAAGAAAGAGAAAGGGGGAAGGAAGGAAGGAAGGAAGGAAAGGAAGGAAGGAAGGAAGGAAACGTGGAAGGAGGAAGGAAAGGAAAGAAAGAAGAAAAGGGAAGGAGGGAAGGAAGGAAATAAAGGGAAAGGGAGAAGGAAAGAAAAGGAAGGAAGGAAGGAAGGAAGGAAGCTAGGAAGGAAGGAGGAAAAGAAGGAAGGGGGAAGGAAGCTAGGAAGGAAGGAAAGAAGGAGGAAAGGAAGGAAGAAAGGCAGGAAGGAAGGAAAGAAGGAGGAAAGGAAGGAAGGAAGGAAGGAAGGAAGGAAGGAAGGAAGGAAGGAAGGAGCGAGCTAGGAAGAGACCTGGCCCAAAGAATCCCTAAGATTTGGATACAACTGAATGGATAACATCATCATCAACAACAAGAAAATTATAACGATGTTCTTCATTAGCTGGTCAATCTTGGCAGGTTCTCGTAAACCAGGGGTCTTCAAACTTGGCTAGTTTAACACTTGTGGGCTTCAACTCCCAGAATTCCTCCTCCTCCTGTCACGTTAGCTCAGGAATTCTGGGAGTTGAAGTCCCCAAGTCTTCAACATGCCAAGTTTGAAGAACACTGTCGTAAACCCTCGGCCCATGAACCCCTCTCCCCGATGAGAAAACCCACATAATACCATTTAATGGAGCAGAAGCGAGACAGGCAGACCCCACCTGCTGTGGCAAATGACAACCGTAACTCTGATTCAGTCTCTTGAGACCGTCGCAACTCCGAGCCAGGAAGCCCACAGGATCGGTGTCACCTTTGAGTTCAGGGATAGCAGAGGATAAAAACTGGTGTGCAGCCCCATACTGGATTTGGCGCAGGTGCGTCTAAGAGAGCAGGTTAATCTTGGACAGTGTCGGCTGCAAGGCACCAGGACAACACAGGTAGCTGGATAAAATGGTAGGTTTATTGCTGCTCACCTATTAACAGGAAACTTGAAGGTAGCCCTCCACTTACGGCCGTAATGGAATCCAAAACGTTTGTTGCTAAGCAAGACCGTCGTTAAAGTGAGTTTTTAGCCCATTTTAACACCTTTTCTTTCACAATTGGCAAGTGAACCGCTGCAGCTGTTAAATTAACACCAGTGTTCAGTGGATCTGGATTATGACTGGTTGTCACACTTTCTGGCCATTGCAGCATCCCCACCGCCACGTGATCGAAACTTTGTGTGCTCGGCACCCAAATGTTTGCAGCGTCCCAGGGTCTCAATTGGGATTCAATTCAGCTGTTCTGACCAAGGCTTCCAAGACCGTCATTACGCACATGCTTATTTCAAAAAGAAGTCTGGTTTTATTGCAACGCTGGGAATGATTTTCATTCCCAGCCAGGAATGAATCTCAAACAGCCCCTCGAGATAAGCACCCACCTTTCATTTCTGGGAAGTGCTGCCAACAACAGAAGTGTCAAATGAACTAGGAAAAAAAAAACACGAACCAAAGTACAAAGAGCTTCAAGAATGAATCTGAACTGAACGGACGACTTTGCTTCCTACAAAGGTTTTGTCATCTTGGTCTGACTTTTATCCCTTATGGGAGGGGCAATCATCTCCCAGTCTTACTCCCGAGTTTCCCCTTTTGTTTCAGCTACTTTCGCCTTCTAGCAGCTCTGTGCGCACGCACGCTGGGAACAGGCTCCCCTTGTTCCTTTTCCTTGCCGCCGCCAGACTCCAGAGGCTCCAGAGTCCGCATCCCACTCCCAGATGGTCCAGGCCCCATCCCCAGACTCCCGGACTGTCCCACGTTCTTCCTCACGGTCCGATTCGGCTGCCATCTGCACAGGCTGCCAACGAACCACAACATCAGCAACCTTCCCAGAGAGTTTTTATCACGAGCAACATCAGCGGGGCAAGCCAGTTTTGCTTAACGACCGCGTGATTTCAACTTAACAATGGTAGCGATTTGCTTAACAATACTGGGCGAAGCAGGTTGCCAAGTGGGGCACCGCTCGGTGAACAACGGCCCTGCTTAACAGTGGAGATTTTGAGCTCCGTTGTAGCCGTTCAGTGCTGAAGTACCTGTACAGGTTAGCTTTTAAGTTCCCAGGAAGAACATTGTGTCGTTAACTCAGTGGAAGGGGAGGAAAGCTAGCAGCTCTGTTTGAACAGGCGACCTGCAGCTGCTGACTTCAGAGTCTAGAACCTCTTGGTACCGGACTCTTTAATTGAGCCAGGAAGTGCGAGGTCATAAATGTCGTCCCATCTCAATGTGAGATAAGCCATGTGCTACGGTTCCACTGTGGATCCAAGTTCAGCTGGCAAAAACCCTGCAGCGATATATCGGGTGTTGGGTACCACAGTGGCCCCCAACCTTTTTTGTGCCGCGGCCCGGTACCGGCATCACAAAATCATCCGCGGCCCGGTACCAGCATCAGCACGCATGCCAAGGCGAGCCGAGCGACCGGCCAGCCAGCCGTCCCCCGCTTCTCCCCGCCACCTTCAACTCCTCCTTTGTACCTGTATCGATGGGCTTCGCGACGGCTTCGGGACGGTCGCTCGGCTCGCCTTGCCATGCGTGCTGAAAGAATCCTCGCGCCTTAGTTTTGTTCGAAGCCGCCGCCCCCCCTCGATGAAACTAAAGCGTGAGGATTCTTTCAGCACCCAAACGCCGCTTTCTACCCGGAAAAGCTCACCGGAAGCACTTTTTCATCAAAACAAGATGGCGGCGCCCAGCAAACCGGCGACCCGGTAGAAATTGTTCCACGGACCGGGACTGGTCCGGGGACCGGTGGTTGGGGACCCCTGGGGTACCATATAGTTGTGGGATTCAGAACTTTTTACTACCAGTTCTGTGGGCGTGGCTTGATGGACGTGGCAAGGGAAGGGACAGGATTCCCGCAACCGCTCGAATGAAATCATGATTCTCGAGCCAAACTTCAAAAAACTTCAAAGGATTCGTTAGGTAACATCATCAGTGCTGGAAGGAAGTGGGGAATGTATAGGGTGGAGGAGGAGGAGGAAGAGAAGGAAAAGAGAAAGGAGGAGGAATATGGGGTCCTTGCTGCTCTCGGAGCTCGATGGCTTTCTTGCAGACGTTTCATGACCCAACTAGGTAACGTCATCAGTGCTGGAAGGAAGTGGGATGTGTAGGGTGGAGGAGGAAGAGAAGGAGAAGAGGAAGGAGGAGGAGGAGAGGAGGAGGAGCGTGGGGTCCCTGCTGCTCTTTCAGCTCGGTGGCTTTCTTGCAGACGTTTCATGACCCAACTAGCTAACACCATCAGTGCAAGAAGGGAGTGGGGAATGAAACATCTCCAAGAAAAGGCAGAGCGCATCAAGGACCCTTCATAAACATCAAGAAATCGGATGTGTCTGCGCATGGATCTCTCCAGTTTGTTTTTTCTCCTCTTAATCAGCTTTTCATTTTTAAAAAAACATTTGTTTTATACGTTATGTTCTATTTCTCTGGTTTTTCCTCTTAACTTTTTTGTTTTTCTTTTCTCTTAATTCTCTTTTATTGAATGTGTGCCTGTTTACCTCTCTAAAGGAATATGGCTGTATGAGGCCCTGTAAGGATGAATATGTAAGTTCCCACATCTCCTTTTTTTTTTTCTTTTTTTTACAAAAATAATAATAATCTTTTTTTTAACCTTTTCACATTTCTCTGTGCAACCCCCCCTCCTGTCTTTCTCTCTGCTACGTTTTGTGCCGGAAGCATGATTGTATGGCCCGCTCGATTCATTTGAATGACTGCATGGGAAATTTAACCCGATTAAAAAACCAACACTCGACAATCACGAGTCCGATTATGCCTCTGTGTGGCACGTTATATGTTTATTTCCTGAGCCTCTTCCTCAGCATGAGCTGTCACCTCAGGTTATTTTAAACATATTATATTAGAATTCTTTTTTCTCTGTTCACGTCACCGGACAGATTTTGTTCATCAGGGGAAAAGATATTTGTTCGTTTGCTGGATTTTTTTTAATGTTGTTCCACTTCTGCATGCGGTATAAAATCACCCCTCCCCAAATTAAAACAGTTTATAATTTACCAGTTTAATCTCAAAAACTGCAGGTAGTCCTTAACTTATAACCATCCATTTAGTGATTGACCGTTCAAAGTTACGTTGGCATTGAAAAAAATGACTTATGATCGTTTTTCACACTTGTGACCAGGGTTACTCGATCAACATTCAACAACTGACATGTACTTATGACTGTTGCAGCGTCCCGGGGTCACATAATCCCCCTTTTGTGACCTTCTGACAAAGTCAGTGGGGGAATCAAGGTTCACTTAACAACTGTGTAACTAGCGTAAAACCTGCAGTGATTCACTTAACAACTGTATAAAGAAACGGCGTAAAACGGGGCCAAACTCCCTTCAGAAATGTTTCACTTAGCAGCATAAATTTGGGACTCGCTTGCCAAAGACTTCAAAAAAGGACCCAGGAAACAAGAAGGGGTCAAATGCCTTTTGCATGGTCCTTTCACCGTGGTTTGAACCTGGATTTTGGTCATAGTGGCAGATAAGTAGACAGATAGAATTCTTTTTATTGGCCAAGTGTGATTGGACACACAAGGAATTTGTCTTGGGGCATTTGCTCTCAGTGTCCATAAAAGAAAAGAGACATTCGTCAAGAATTATCAGGGACAACACTGAATGATAGTCATAGGCAATCAAATCATGGCAGGATTCATATGCAGATAGTCCTCCACTTATGACCACAATTGAGCCCCAAAGGTCTGTTGCTAAATGCCACGTTGGTTAAGCGAGCTCTGCCTCGTTTGTTATGACCTATCTTGCTGAGGTTGCTAAGTGAATCACTGCCGTTAAGTAACCTGGTTGCTAAGTGAATCTGCCTTCGCCCTTGACTTTGCCAGCCGTGTGCAGCCTAAAAAAGCCAATGCAATCCTAAATTGCATTAACAGAGGGATACAATCGAGGTCAAGGGAGGTACTAATACCACTCTATAAAGCCTTAGTAAGGCCGCACCTAGAGTCCTGCATCCAGTTTTGGTCATCACACTGTAAACAAGATGTTGAGACTCTAGAAAGAGTGCAGAGAAGAGCAACCAGGATGATGAGGGGACTGGAGAGTAAAACATACGATGGACGGTTGCAGGAACTGGGCCTGGCTAGTCTAGGGAAGAGAAGGACCAGGGGAGACAGGAGAGCATCTCCCAATATTTGAGGGGCTGCTCCAGAGAGGAGGAGGAAGGGGGTCAAGCTATTATCCAAGGCACCCGAAGGCCAGAGAAGGAATAATGGATGGAAACTGAACAAGGAGAGATTCAACCTGGAAATAAGGAGAAACTTTCTGACAGTGAGAACAGTCAACCCATGGAACAGAAGTTGCCTTCAGAAGTTGTGGGAGCTTCATCACTGGAAGCTTTCAAGAAGAGACTCTGTCAGAAATGATGTAGGGTCTCCTGCGTGGACAGGGGGTTAGACTAGATGACCTACAAGGTCCCTTCCAACTCTGATTATCTGTTATCTGCTTGTCAGAAGCTGATCACGTGACTCCAGGGCATTACGACCGTCATAAACATGAGCCAGTGGCCAAGCATCTGAATTTTGATCCCGTGACCACCACGGCGGTCGTAAGTGTGGCAAACGGTCCTAAGTCCCATTTTTCATTGCCGTTCTAATGGTCCCTAAACGATCTGCTACAACCGTGATGGCGAACCTATGGCACGTGTGCCAGAAGTGGCACGCAGAGCCATGTCTGCTGGCCTGTGAGCCATCGGCCCAGTCTACTGCGCGTCCACACGTGCCTCCCGCCAGCCAGCTGATTGTTTGGGGAGGGGGCAGGGGGGCGCACGGGAGAGGCTCACGCATTCGCAGAGGTGCATGGCGCGCATGTGAGGGGGGTTGAACTGTGGGGCCCTTGTGTGTCTTGTGAGCTTGGGGTTTTCTTGTAGATGTTTCATGACCCAAACTAGGTCACATCATCAGTGCTAGGAGGGAGATGGGTTTGCGAGGAGGAGGAGGAGGAGGAGGAGGAGGAGGAGGAGGAGGAGGAGGAGAAGAAGAACTATGGGGTTCTTGATGCTCTCTGAGTTTGCCTGTTTACTTGCAGATATTTTATGACCCAACTAGGTAGGTAACATTATCAGTGCTAGAAGGCAGTGCCTTTTGCAGGGGTGGGGAGAGGAGGAGGAGGAGGAGGAGGAGGAGAAACTATGAGGTCCTGGGTTGTTTTCTTGCAGACATTTCATTACCCAATTAGGTAACATCATCAGTACTAGAAGGAAGGGAGATTAGCACTCAGTCTTCTAGCATTGATAATTGGGTAATCATCAATGAAATGGGTCATGAAATGTCTGTGTCAGGTTTCCAAGTCATGTAATCCATTTAAAAAGTAAAAAGAACAAAGTCCATCTTCCAAGACGAATTTCTTTTATTTAGGAAAGCATCAAATTGGCAAAGTCTGTTGTGATTCCGGATCTGACCCAACCTGGAATTATACCACGTAATATTGGAAGTTAGAAACAGCCCCCCCAAAAAGTCACACACCCCCAATAGAAGTAAATCAACGTTTGCCTGGTGTCATCAGTCTCCATCTCCGGGTCTCAGCAGGGTCAGCTTTCGTTCCCACGGGAAGAAGAACCACCTAGCCTAAACAACTCTCTCTATCTCCACTCCTCCCACCTTAGGAATGTGGCAAGCCTGAAACCCTTCCCTTCCCCCAACCCCCCCATAGCCACCAAAGAGAAAGTAAGAAAAAGAATATATACTAAGCCTAACTAAGATGGCTAAACATATGTCAATTTCGGGCTTGACAGACTGCCCTCCCTCATTTGAAAAGAAACCCCTGCAATGACATAAAATACACAAAGATGGAAATTCGGTTAAACCCAATCATACAATGCGCATTTTAACCTCCTCTGCCACCCACAGAATTCCAAAAATTCGAAAATTGAGGGTGGGAGTGGGGTGTTGCATGCCCATGCACAAGGGGCCGGGGTGGGGTGGGGTTGTGCACGCATTGCATTATGGGTGCAGGCATGCATGTGCATGCACATGCGCACGCTTTCAGCACGCGAGGACGAAAAAGTTAGCCGTCACTGTGTTCTAAGTTGAAGGACCACCTGTGTTATTATTCAACACAAAACAAATTTTTAAAAAAACCTCACCCCTTTAATGGCTTGATTTTATGAACTGGTACAAACATACATTTTATAAGAACAGGACAGGACAGGACAGGATAGGATAGGATAGGATAGGACAGGATGAGAGAATAGAATAAAATAAGATAGGATAGGATAGGTACTGGATAAAGAATAGAATACATATTGGAATATAGAATAGAATAGAATAGAATAGAATAGATATTGGAATATAGAGTAGAATAGAATAGAGTAGAATAGAATAGAAGAAATAGAATAGAAAAGAAAAGAAAATAGAATAAACATAACAGAATAGAAGTAATAGAATAGAATAGGAATAGAAGGAATAGAATAGAATAGAAATTGGAATATAGAGTAGAATAGAATAGAAGAAATAGAATAAACAGAATAGAATAGAAGGAAAAGAATAGAAGGAATAGAATAGAATAGAATAGA